CTTAAAAATAAAACCTATAAAATCTATTATATCATTCAATAGGCTGAAATATCTCTTAAAAAGTTGCCAGGTGAGCCACAGAATGGAAGAAAATATTTACATGCATATAGCTGACAAAGGAGTTTTATGCAGAATATATAAACAATTTTACAACTGAATAAGGCAGACAATTCAATTAAAAATGGGCAAAAAAAAAAATTTGACAGCCACTTCACAGAAGATAGGAGTGAAAAAGAACATGCAGAATCTTTTAGGGGTGATGGAAATGTTTATTGTGGCAGTGGTTTCCTGGTATATACATCTGTGCAATAATCACTTAGTTGTAATTTCAAAAGGATGCAGTTTGTTTTACCTTGATAAAGCTGATTTTAAAGAGCTGCCAGGATATTCTGAAATCATGCCTTCTTTTTCCCTCTGGACAAAATGCCCCTTAAGCAAGCTGACTATAACAAAATTATTTTACAGATTTTAGATGTTTTCCAAGGTATAACTATCCATTCAAAAACCTCACAAATTACTGTCTTTTGCCACTAGATGGCAGAGGAAAATAACGAATGTTCCTGTAATGATGGAAGAACTGAAATTAAAACTCAGAAGTGGAAATGCAAAGTAGGGAAAGATGACTTACAGATATACAAAGAAAAAAAAATCCAATCATGATGAACACAAAAGTGTGCATATTTAACTGAGACTTTAAAAAAACACATATTTAGTTACCTTATTTTATAAAGAATTATTTGTGCCTGACATGTTGTAGCTATTTAATATTTGCTGACTGAATTTATGAGTGAAAGAGAAGCCATGTGGACCTCCCCTGAGAGAGAACATACTGCAGGAAAAAAAATCTGTACTTCAATGGAAAACTATGCACTGGCTACAATACAGCACAACCTTGGGGCTGAGGCTAGCAGGGCTAGACTGTGCCCTTGAGCTACTTCACACTTTTGTAAATTGAAGGTAACTGATAAGGATGCAAGCACTGGGTCTAGAATTTAGATTGGCTTCCTTCCATCCAGTGGAAAACCCAGTTCTGCCTTATTTACAATTCAATTCCTTTATCACATATACAGTATGCTTTTTGACTTTCCCTTTAAACTGGTTATAACCCTGGTTCCCTCACATGAGTAAAATAAAAATCTTTAACACATGCTTATTTTTATATTTCTAAGAGTCATGATTGAACCTTTTTCTGAAAATTATCTTTTAACAATAACTTTAGAGAAATGAGCTTATGGGAAACAGGCTTTCTCTAAACCTGAGAGCTGATAGCTTAGGTAAATATATACCTTGAATATCAGGAAATGGTCAGGTCAAGCCAGTAACAAAAAGCTGGATTTAAACTCTTAAAAATCTAGGGCCAAGCAAAGATCCTACAAGAATGCATGTTTGACCACTGTCCCCACCTATATCAGCAGGCCTGAGCCCTTTTGCCTGTCCACGTTATGCAACTGCACCCACCAGCCATATCTGATTGGATTAGGGAGGGCAAAGCCAGACTAAACCAATAAGGCAAAACTGGAAATTTGGGTTTGAGGCTCAGAGACAGGTCATTTCTATTGTGCACTTTTGCCAGGAGTGGTAAGTCTGGATCTGGGGCCAGCCTGTGCTCAGTCCCTCACATTCATGCCAAGCTCTGTGCCCTGGAACATACACCTACATTTGAAGCACAATTTCCTAGGTTGTTTAGTGCAAAGAGCTTTCAAGTCACATAGATCTTAGCTCAAAATTAAACATCGAAATACTAGTGTTACTTCTTAGGGTGTAATGTTTAGGGAAAAAACAAAATAAAACTGGTGTCTGAAGTAGGCTGTTTCTTCATTTGTTAAGAATGAAAGTCAATACTTGCCCCATGTAAATGCTATGGTGATTAAATGAGGCAAATGTATAACTGGAAAAACATAGTTCATCCCACATAATACATAGTCAAAAACTAATGCCCACTCAGAAAGTAGAAAAGATTCTCTTAGATACAAATAGGATTAATAACTTTACACCAAGGGAGCAAGGAGATGATGGGTATGGACTAAATGTACAATAGATATCACTGTCACATCAAAAGAGGGTTGAATTCTTTATGGAAAGATAGACGTAAGGAGAGGGAAAAGGTTTTGTCCAGTTGCTATAATTAAATCCTGATTTTGCTTGTGTGCTTTTCTGGTGGGCATTTAAATTTCAGAAGCCCTTTTAAAAAAAATACTTTATTTTAGAGCAATTTTAAGTTCACAATGAAACAGCAGAAAGTACAGGGAGTTCCCACATACCCCCTCACTACCCCCACAATCCCTCCTACCATCACATTTCACCCTTTGTTAGGCTAACTTTCATTGAAGGTTTAGTCATTCAGATTGCAATTCGAACCAGTCTGTTTTCCTACTCCTCTTCCATTAATAATCTATTGATTGCTTATCCCCAACATATCCTTCCTAAAATAGGACTTCTCAGGGAAATTCTGCATACTATGGATACATGTCCTACATTTGTCAACATTCATTTGTTAAATCTTCTTTGCTTATTCCTTTCCTTCTCTCATTCTCTATCAATCAATCATCTATTAATCAATACATTCTCTGGGGAGAAGACATAAATTTTATTTTCTAATTTCTAAAGTTTTAATATCTAGATGCTAAAACAGGGGACTAAAAGTGATTTTTATCCTGAATTCCTCTTGTTTCTTTTCTTGCTGTATAACAGTAAATTTTTCTTTAACATTCAAAACATTATTTAAAATTACAGAAGTAATGAAAATGTTTTTGTAAAAAAAAAGCAAATAATCCAGAAAAGCCCATCCTCTCCTCCATTCTCTTCCCTTCCTCAGAGGTAACTTTCATAGTAAGTTTTCAAGGATATTTACAATGGTATAGATGAAAAGAATTTTCTAAATAGGTTTTTCTTAATTTAAACTTATCACCACAGCTCTTGATAACATTGACCAGTTTGCTTTTTTCATTTGCACTTCAATATTAGATTTTTTCATCTTGTTATGTTGTGCCTATTTCTAATGCAAAGCCTCAGATGAACTGCAGGGACTTTTAAAATATTGTCCTTAAAATGGTACAACCATTTTGGAAAGTGGTTTGGCAGTTACTTGAAAATTAAACACAAAGCTACCACAACATCTAGATTGAATTCTATTCCAAATTATCTGCAAGTTTGAATAATGGATTGTCAGTGATTCTTGCCTGGAATGTACACAGAATCACCTGGAAAGATTTTTCAAAATACTTTCCGGACTCATAGAATCAGAATACCTCAGGAAGAGTCCTGGATGTGTGCAGTCTCACAAAAGGTCCGCAAATGATAATTCTGCACACAAACACCCTTTTGGTCCCATGGCTACTTATGATCCCTTTGGGTGACCACACCCACTTCCTTGGCTTCAGCCAACTGCTATGTAAGGAAGAAGACCTGAACTAAGATAGTCACGGTGGCAATAAAGAGGAGAGAGAGAATTCAAGGCATTTATGAGGTAAAATTCATAGTATTTATATTTAGAAAGTCAAATGGTAGATTTTATGAAAATTTCAAGCCTACTTAAAAGTTGAGAGATTAGAATTAGGTTGAACATGAAATTGCCAATATTTAACCATTTTTGTCCTATGAAAATGCCAATTTCATATGACCTAACCTAATATAAAACACTCATATATACATTACCAAGATTCAAAAATTATCAAGATTTTTAGTCACTTGCCTGTCTCTCTCTTTTTCCTTTTTCTTCTCTTTTCTTTAATTGCTGAGTAATTTTAAAGCAACCCTGAACCTTAAGCCATTACACCCCTACACACTTAGCATATATCTAAAACAATATTGATACTTTCTTATATAACTGCAATGTTACTACCAAACCTACTTAGCAATAATTCCTTGTTATTATTTAATATCCAGTCTGCATTCATATCTCTCTTTAAAAATGTCTTTTTACAATTTGTTTGACCTAATCAATTTCCTAAATAAGGTCCATACATTGTATTTGGTGGTTATGGTTCTTAAACCTCTTTCTTTCCCAAGCAGTCCCCCTGAAATACACCTCCTACTTTTTCTCTATGCCACTGACTTGTAGAGGTAACTAGGTCAATTATCAATCCTGTGATGTGACCCACATTCTGGACTTTTCTGTTTGATTTTTCCATGATGACACTTAGCTTGTTCTTCTACCTGCTATATTTCCTATAAAGTGGAAGTCACAGAGCCTGTACTTTTTGTACTTTTTAAAATATCCCTTCTAGGCCGGGCGCAGTGGCTCACACCTGTAATCCTAGCACTCTGGGAGGCTGAGGGGGGCGGGTTGCTCGAGGTCAGGAGTTCGAAACCAGCCTGAGCAAGAGCGAGACCCTGTCTCTACTATAAATAGAAAGAAATTAATTGGCCAGCTAATATATATAGAAAAAAAAAACAACTAGCCGGGCATGGTGGCACATGCCTGTAGTCCCAGCTACTTGGGAGGCTGAGGCAGGAGGATTGCTTGAGTCCAGGAGATTCAGGTTGCTGTGAGCTAGGCTGACACCACGGCACTCACTCTAGCCTGGGCAACAAAGTGAGACTCTGTCTCAAAAAAATAAAAAATAAATAAAAATAAAATATCCCTTCTTGAGTAGAAAGCACATGCCCTTCAGCATGCTAGAAGTAGACAAGGGTGAGTGTGCTATTCTGGTTAGGCACTTATAAGCTGTGTGACTTTGGGTAAGGTACTACACCTACCTAAGCCTCCACTTTCTCATATGTAAAATAGGAATATAACAATTCATAACTTGAAGACTTTGGGGAAGATAAAATAAGATAATGAATATACAGTGCCCAACACATGGCCTGGCCCACAGGTAGGTAAGCAATTGCTCAGTGAACATCAGTTCTAGTCAGTGACAAGAGATGCCTTTGGTTACAAAAGAGAAATATTCATTCTAATAAAATATTCATAAGAAAGTACCTGAAAGTTACATCTTTTTTTTTGGACATTGTAGAATATGTACAATATTTATCTGTAAGCAATAAATAATACTTACAGCAGAAGTAGAGAATCTAAGGATTTTTGAAGAATAAATTGTCTTCAGGAATCTTGTTCCACTGCCAAGAGCCAAAAACATGCTAAAAATAAAAGAAAAATTGAAAAGAAGAGTAAATACTTTACAGTTACATCACTATGAGATACTTACAGCTAGCTGACAGAACATAAATTTATATAAAATATAAATAAAAATTTTTGATAACTGAGCCTTTTTTTCTTTCTTTCAAGTTTTCTTTCTATGATATAATCTCTAATCACTGGTATCATTCTAATAAAGTTATTCCTGATTATCTTATATAAATTTATACTTATATAATTTAATTTTTAAATTTTTATTTATTTAGTTAGTTACATGGATACCTTTTATAATGCTTAAGTCGGGTCTTTTAGTGTGCCTATCACTGGAACAGTGTTCATTGTACCCAAGAGGTTGATTTTTGACCCTCTCCTCTTTCTCCTCCTCCCTTCCATTTCTGAGATACTTCACTTACAATAATGGTCTTCAATTCCATCCAATTTGCTGCAAAACACATTATTTCATTCTTTTTTATGACTAATACTTATATCACTTTAAACTAGAGATCTGTAAGAATATTATGAATTTTAAAAATAAGTCTTTAATTTAATGAAGAGTATTGAATTTGAGTAAGTAAAAGTTCCATTTTTTAGCAGCTATAAAATCCAGAATATTTCAATCTAAGAACTACTCAAATTTCAAAATTATCTGGATATGGTCACTAGTAAAAGCACAATTTATAACAGTAAATTAAAGATACTAGAAATAGGTTATTTAGAAAGCTGTTTGAAAAGATAGATACCAGATCCTTGATACACACAAAATCTTTCTTTGCAATTTTCAAATATACAATACATTGTTATTAACTATTGTGCCCATGTTGTAACACCTACCTCTTTCTTGCTATTTCACCACTACCAGACAATTATTTCCCTCAACAGCCTCACTGATGTTATCTCCTGACTGCCTATCCTCAACCCCAAGTACTGTGATCATCCTAGATAATTTTAATGCCTTCGGAGATGAACCATCAAATATCTGGCACCTGCCCCCCAATGTCATTGCTCTCATCTTCCGTTCTGTCTTAGTCACTCTCTCCTATGGTCATAACCTGCACGTTGCCATTCCCCCAATCTGGTCTAATTCCAAAATAATTAACTGAAGCATTTTGCTCTTTGACCATAAACTATCTGTCCTTTCAATCTGTTTAATTACTCCAACTATCAGTATTCTTCAGTAGCATCAGCATCTCCAGGAGGTTGCTTTTTTCCCAATCAGCCCTTACCTTCCTGTTCGCCCAATTTAGATGAAGTTCCACCACTTCAACAAGGCTTTTAACAATGCCCTATCCCTCCTTGCCCATCTTTCCATCTGTCTGTCAAACCCACCAGCAGTCTCTGTTTTTCCTATGGTCCTTGCAGTTGTAGACTGCAGGGGAAAGTCACAGAGGATATGCTTTGAAGGAGGGTCAGAATTCTCTCATGACTTAGATCTCATTTCCTCCCACCTCTACAGAGATCTTGCTCAACTGCACATTGACCTTTCTCCTGCATATTCAACTTTCCTTGCTTAAGTCTTTTCTGGTTAAAAAGTAACAAAAACAAAACAAAATCACAAATGGACAAAAATAAAACTCTTGACTCTACCTTCTCCCTGTTGCTCATTTTACTAGCTGTCTCCTTCTCCTCAATTTCTACTCCACAACCCAGTATAATCTGACTTTTGCACCCATTGCTCCATAGAGGCAGCTCTTGGTAAAACCAGTTTTGACCTTTATATTGTTCAATCTAGTGGACATTTTGCATCTCTCACTTTCCGTGAGCTCTCTGCAGCTGCAGACACTGCCAGCCAAGCCTTCTCTCCCTGCGGAAATGCCATGTTCCCTTGGCTTGTGACATATTGCAATCCCTCCTTTTCTTACTACCTTGTCCACAGTCCACCATTAAATGATGGAATTCCTTGAAACTCAGACGTAGGCTCGCTTCCTATTTCACTCATTACTCTTTCAGTAGGTGATCTCATTGTGGAAGGAACCATGAGATCCATAGTGAAAAAACTGCTGGCAAGAAATGTAAGCAGGCTGACAGATGCAAATTCAGACCCTTTGTAGCAAGTTATTTTTCTTGTGTACCTTAAACATATTTGGGCTGCATTTTCTAATACAATCAAAATTGCGTATGTATATTCACCAATAAGATAAATTAATAAACTTGGATGTTGGAAAAGTTGGAGAAAATCAAAAGGTATATGGCTCTTAATTCTAAACAATATTTTCACTGTATTCTGCTAGTTTCTCCCTAAAAACAATTTCTGTTCAGAAAAACAGGCAAATTGTGAATCTAGTTGATCTAATTGTAGTGTATTTACATTAGGTAAACTCCATATTCAAATACACATGATTAACAGACGATTAAATTGTTGATTTGTTATCAATGGAGTACCAAGGATCCTCAAACTTTTTAAACAGGGGGCCAGTTCACTGTCCCTCAGACTGTTGGAGAGTACACACTGTGGGCCCAGGACGAGTAGGCTGCTAACAGGCAGCGGCAGCAAAAACACCCGCCGGCCTGATAAATTTCCTCGGTGGGCCCCACGAGGCCCGCAGGCTGTGCTTTGAGGACCCCTGGTAGACGGTTTAAAATGAAGATTCATAAGGTACGCTTGGCAGATTTGGGGATGGTCTGAAACTGAGAAGGTTGGTAAATTGTTGGGGGCACAATCCAAAGCTAAAAGGCAGACAAAGCAATCAAAATGAATTAACCTTTGGACTTAAATTTATCAATTTATAAATGCTTTACATAGGGGAAGAGAGCTAGGAAGAGATTTAGTTAATTTGACAAAGTCCAGAACATTTGGGTTAACTGCAAGCTCCAGGAATACTAACATGAGGCAAAAAGGGCTACCACTAATAGCGCATAGCCCACACTGTTATAAGAGTACAGAGCGAGGGAGATTCTTTTCCTTTCACGATGTTAGTCCACTTCTAAAATGTTGGTAAGGTTCATTGTTACAACAGAGGACATCTGGAGGTGAACAGGTACTGGTTGGGGAAGTACGGCGGGGGAGGATAGGCTTCAAAGCCAGGTCATTGGAGCAAGAGTGGAAAAAATGAGCCAGTTAGCCGGCCCAAGATTTAAGGAGACAGATCCTGAAATGGCTGAAAAGCTGGTCTGTGAAAATGGGATTCGTGTAACCATAAATTCGTGTAACCTCCCGAAAGAGTATAGTTCACTGGTTGGAAGTTAGCAGGAATTAGGTTTTTAGCACATGAAGTAAAACTTTCTAAAGGTCGCTCTGCAACGCAGTGCCTGGTGCCAAGTGGCCAGCTGACCAACTCTCCCCTCAGGTAGCAGGAGAGGAGCCCGCAGGTCGGACACGTGGGTAACAGATTTCTGCAGTGGCTAGGGGTTTGCACTGCTAGAGAGCGGCTCCGACTCCAAAAGCAGCAGATTGGACTGCTTTTCTCTTTTAGCTAAAAAATTCTGGATTCCACTAAGATTCACTTATATGGCAAGTTAACAGCCTTTGTTTCCTTTTAAAATTAAGAATCCCAGGGTTACCCTTCCCAGACTGCTTTCTAAACGCCCAAACTGCAAAAACCAAGAGCAAAAGGACAGGACGACGACCGCGGTCCCGGGGTTCCTTCCTAGGAGGTCAGTCACCTCTGTGCCAGTCCCTGTCCAAAAGAAACTGTGTTGGCTGCAGGGCTGACCCTCTGCAGCTGCCCCCGCAGTCCTTCTGGGCTGGGGTCAGCGGGTCCGGCCGCCTGCTCGCGCCGCGGCTCGGGAGGGCGAGTCCGGGTCCCGCTGGAAGCCCGGCCCGGCTCCTCCCCCAGCCCCGCCACGCGCGCCGGCAACTGCGCCCCGCACACCTTCCCTGGCGGCTTAACGCCTCACGCCCGGGCCCTCACGGCTCCTCCGCGCGGAAGTGCCGCGTCTGCCGCCGCACTCACCTCCCTCACAGGCCGCAACAACAACCTGGCTTCCCAGGCTCGAGTCCCACCTGGGCTGGCGGGCCTGGCTGGGCGGGGTTCGCATGTGGGCGCGGAGCCTGGGCGGGGACTGACTCAGGGCGCTCACTGGCCGCGGGGTGAGCCGCATTCTCCGGACTGGAGGAGACCGAATGAGGGGAGGGTGCAGGGCCGGAGGCGGAAGGGGGCGGGACGCGGCCAGGCTTGGATGTGGCCGGGGATTGGCTAAGGAGTGTGGACTCAGGGCGCGCATTGGCTGACCCGAGTGAGGGGGCGGAATGGGGCGGGACTTAGATGTGGATGAGGATTGGGAATGGAGTTTAGATCCAGGGCTGGAAATGGCTGTGTGTGACTGACTGGGTCGGGGCAGGCTATAGGATGAAGACTGGTTTGGAAGAATGGGCAAGCCAAGGCCGCTGGGCTTGTTCAAGGGCAGGGTTCCGGTTGGAACAACTTTGGAAGGTGCCTGAGAGAGGGCGAGGCTAAAAAGAATGTGGAAAAGGGATTGTAGATGTATCTGTCGCCTGAGATGCGGGTGAGGGGGAAAAAGCGGAGAAAAACTTTACTTTCCTGAACAGTTCGATGAACTTGATCAGCGAAATGGGAAGGAAAGGGGCATGTCAGACTAAAGGAGAAAGATAAATGACACTTTTAAAAGTTAGGAGGAGGAAGAACACCACTGGTTACTTCTTTGGGGAGGGTGGTGTTAGCAAAAGGAGAGTTCCTGTTAAAAATCGAGTTTTATGTTTAAATTTCCTTCCTCTTCTACTTTAAAAGGATGAAAGGAGAGGGAATGGGAGCAGCGTTAGCATTGTTATTCAGGCCTAGAGAAAGGAACAAAAATAATCTTTGGTTAAAAGGAACTAGATACAGGGAGATTCAGAAGATTAGGCTTGGAGAAATTATTACCTACGCCCTAGGTTGTGAGCTACTGTGAAAGGCATTTATTTGCTAAGGTTTTCCAGCCAAAAGACCACCAGGAACATACCTGTAAATCAGAAAGTTAGGTTTATTACTTGTTGCAAGGAGGGAGGACACACATCCTGGGGAATTACGAGTCATCTCGTACAGGAGATAAGATTTAAGAAATCTTATAAGAAACAACTCATAAGATTTGGGCTCGTATTAGATGATTTGGGGAGAAGATTCAAGGAAATGGAGGTTTGATCTATATTTATTGGGTGTTGTCAAGAAGTGGGGCTAATTCTAAGATCTGGTATCATAATCCATCTTACTTAAAAGAAAGGAGGAAAATGCAAGGCTAAAGCTGTAATTGGCAAGAAGCAACAATCATATTAGCTGGAAGAGGAGGATAGTTTGATATTTTTGTAGTTTCACAGTGACTTTGTTTTTATCTGTGTTTAGGCAAGATTATTAAGTGATCTTGTTTGTTGTTGCACTTCATGATCACAGAATGACCTTGTCTGATAGTGTTCTGTGAGATTGTTATGTTTTCACAAAGGATACCACAGCCAGTTCCTAATAATACTCAGGTTAAGTATCAGTTAAGTTCCTGATTCCAGGGGCTACTCTTCTTTTTGTCACATTTACCAAATATGAATTGAATACATAGATGGTTAGGCTACTAGGAAGAAGGAGGCAGAGAAAGTATGTCTTAAACCTTACATTCTGATAGGGAGAAAGGCAATAGACAAGTAAACATAAAATGATTTCTGAGAGTTGTAAGTGCTATGAAAGAAGCAATGATGTGTGGAGATAGCTGGATGTTTAAATAGGATGGTCAGGAAAGGCTTCTTTGAGGGGGTGATATTTGAATGAAGAATTCAATAATAAGGTTTTGCAGAAATGATTCTGGAAAGGAAAACAGCAGTTGAAAAGACCCTAACTATGGGAAAAGGGGTTGTAAAGTGGCTTCCTGAAATGACTAGCTAATAGGTTTATTACCCTTATACCTTCTGCTTATTTGTTCTCTGAATAAAAAGATGATATATTCCTGATGTAGATAAGCTCTTTTCCCTTGCCTCATCTAAAGGACTGAAAATATCCTGAAATGTAGCAGAGAGAAGGCAGTCTTGAATAGTAGATAAGCAAAACTGTCTGATTTAAATTCCAGCTTTTCAATTTTCTAGCTGTGTGACCTTGGGCAAGTTACTTCATTTTTCTGCCATTGAATTTCTTCATCCGTAAAATGTGGATAATAGAACCTTACTCATAGTGCTCTTGTGAGGACTCAATGATTTAATAGACCAAACAAACAAAACTTAGGACAATGCTCAGCTCTTAGTAAGTACTATAAAATTGTTCCTTAAGAAAAAGGGAAAGAGAATCTTTAGGATGGAGCTGCTAGTTATCCCCCACTATTTAGTATTCTCTTCTTCTGTCTGTAGTAATAGAGCCCCCAAATTTCAGCAAAGTACATGGATGCATGGTATAAAGACTACATTTCTGGTCTTTGTTATAGCTAGGTTTGGCCATATGACCAAATTCTGGCCAATGGCATGTAACTGGAAGCTGTATGTGCAGCTCCTATGAAATGTCTTAAAGGGGAAGTAGGCCCTTCTCATCCCCTTGGTTTGCAGTTTCCCTGCCGGTTTGAGTGCAGCCTTCATGGCTATAGCCCCCTTGGACCACCACATGGAATCTGCAAGTTGAAGGTGATCTAGAGCAATAGAATGAGAGAGAAGGATCCTAAGCCCTGACATCATGGAGCCACCACTCCAGCTCCAAACTGAGAGAGAAAACTTTGGTTTTGTTTAAATCTTTTGTATTTGTTTCCTATATGTGTCATAGTATGCCTGTAATGGTTTACCAACTCTTCTAGTTTGATTCCCAAAGGCATTCCACTTTACTTCTACATGGACCTTCCAGGTGACAATAGAAGAGTGACAGGAAGAAGAACAAGGTGGAAGATATTAGCAATGCCTTATTATCTGCAAATGCTGCTGAAGAGGTGTCTGTGACTTCTAGGTACTATTAATAAGCAGTCAGAACTACACTTCCCTTTATCTCATACCCCTAGAGTAGTGCTAAGATGGACCTGCTCTAGGAAACATGACAATTAAGTGTGGATTTGTAAGTTCCTAAAGCCTTTTGCACCTTCCTGCTATGAAGAATTACATTCACTTTTCAGTCTCATGTAGCTATTTTAAATGCAATATTTTTTGTGTATATATATATATATATATATATATATATATACTAGAATACTACAGTAAATTAATGTAAATTCTCAGCCAGGTGATAATAGCTGTGCAAACATTAGTTTAAATATTTCGAAAACCATAACAGCAATTGTATGTTTACCCATAGAAAGGCTGTGGAAAGTAACTATGTATCTGTTTATCTCTTGTCTCTCTATCTACATACACATTTGGCTGAATTGATAGCAACTTAATTGTTAGTATTTGTTTTTTGAACCAGTCAGACTAGTACCAGTCTGTGGCCTGTTAGGAACCATACTGCGCAGCAGGAGGAGAGCGGCAGGTGAGCAAGCTGAAGCTTCGTCTGTATTTACAGCTGCTTCCCATTGCTCACATCACCGTCTGAGCTCAGCCAGTCTCCTGTCAGATCAGCAGCAACATTAGATTCTCATAGGAGCTCAAACCCTACTGTCAACTGTGCATGCGAGGCATCTAGGTTGCATGCTACTTATGGGAATCTAATGCCTGGTGATCTGAGGTGGAGCTGAAGCAGTGAAGCACTGGGGAGCAGCTGCAAATACAGATTATCATTAGCAGAGGGGTTTGACTGCACAGAGACCATAATAAATAAACTCTTTCCCATCATCGCCAGATGGGACCATCTAGTTGAAGGAAAACATGCTCAGGGCTCCCACTGATTCTGCATTATGGTGAGTTGTATAATTATTTCATTATACATTATATTGTAATAATAATGTAAATAAAATGCACAATATACATGTAATGTGCTTGAATCATCCTGAAACGATCCCCCACCCCACCCTCTAGTCCATGGAAAAATTGTTTTCCCTAAAACCAGTGGCTGGTGTCAAAAGATCGGGGACCGCTGAGAAACTCTTTACAATCTTTGGAAGGCAACTATGCTAACCACAAAGACCAACGCCACGGTAGTCTTTACAATTTTTGAACAATTTTTAAGAAGGGAAAATAAATTTGACTTTCAAAATCAGTCTGGTAGGAAAAAATTTATTCAAAATATAAGATTCATATATAAACTATAATAATAAAAAGTGTATTTGGTGAAAGCTTTGGTAAGTTCTGTGCCCTTCAAGACATGGACCATTTGTGCAGCTTCTGGCTAATAGTGTTAGAAAATGTCAATGCACAGGTGAGCATCACTGCATTAGAACCTGGTAGAAATTGCTTGTCTAATGAAGGTGTCTTGTTTCCTTTCTCAGTATGACTTTGCCTCTGGGATTCCTGGTCTCCATTTATAATGGATCTTCTAGCTTTCAGAGGCCTCTCACAAGCTAAATGTAGGTTCTTACCTCCTAGAGAGTTTCTATGGGGACTGCCCTTTTGTTCTCTTAGTTTGTTACAGTGTGCAATGTCCTCTTGGCATCACTACTAGTCCAAAGTCATTGCTACATCCTCACGCCAGATAGATCATTAGGGCAATGTAAGGAACATAAGTCAACACCAGGTTCTCTAGGTCCTTAAGGAAGGCTAATGATGAAGTCCTTTGTGGACAGTAGAAGGAGAAGGTTCTATTCTTAATAGCACAAAAATCTAAGTAATTTTCAAACTCCTCAAATACTCAACATAATGTTTAATAATTAAATGGTATATGTTCAGGGAGAAGCATCAGGATTGGATTGTGGTGATAAACAGTGCATATAAGATGTTTATACAGCCAGCTGTGTTGACTCACACCTGTAATCCTAGCATTTTGGGAGACCAAGGTGGGAGAATTGCATGAGGCCAGGAGTTTGAGACCAGTTTGAGCAAGAGCAAGACCCCATCTCTACAAAAAAATAGAATTATCTGGGCGTGGTGGCATACGCCTGTTGTCTCAGCTACTTGGTAGGCTTAAGCAGGAGGATCATTTGAACCTGGGAGTTTGAGGTTGCTGTGAGCTATGATGATGCT